TTAAGTGTTATGGTGGCAGGACACCCTATGGAGGGTTAGATGAATCAGCTAAAGCAATAAGCATTTTCCTCTGAGATACCATTTTAAGTCCAGCTCGAGGTTTTTCTATAATGTGTGGTTTCCAACTCGCTCCCTAGAGGAGAAGGTATTCCCTATTATTAAAAGCAGCTAATAAATGTAACCCATCCCTCTGGTATTTGTACCACACTGTACCAAAGCCCAAGGAGCACAAAGGATAAATGATCCTGGTTCTTTTAGGGTATCACCAGGTCTACTGAAAACCTGCAGGCAAAAACCAAGGCAGACTGTGGGGGGTTGCCACTGAGTTCTTATCCCTCGGGTTTGATAATGGCACGGGGAGTGTTTCTCTGAAGTCATTAGTTCTGTGTCAATAGATATTTCCATTTAAGGACTTTCTGGAAGGATTGGGTAAGCCTTGCAGGTTTCAAAATATGTTTAAGAGTACAGGTTTCCACAGAGGACTAGAAGCTCTTTATACTTTGCCTATATATTTTCTTTCCTCTATCCTATAGCTCACTAATTCTTAGAGACACAAAGTAAAGATTTGAGACTTGAATATATCCAACATACTTCATGTACTAGGTATGCTAAGACCACCTAGTATCGGGCCCCAATTGTGTCTACAGCCCCAAAGGTAAAGCAGCCCAGGGAAGAGGAATGATGATTCTCAGCATTTGCAAATCTGTCACTCATTTTTAATAAAGCTGGCTTTCCTTAACTTGTGGATCTCTCAAGTCATTAGAATATTAAAAATAACTAAATACAACAGAAAGGACTTTTTCCAAAAGGAAATGAAAGCAGCGATTTTTACACAGGTTGAGTATGCCTATCTGAAATGCTTGGAACTAGAAATGTTTCAGATTTGAGACTGGCGGGGGGGGGAATTTGCATATATATTAAATAATACCCTGAGGATGGGACTTGTGCGTGTTTTTCACACACTGTATACACACAGCCTGATAGTAACTGCTGACAATATTTTAGTGTGTAACTCACCTATGACTGATCAGACATGAAAGGATCTACTTGTAAACACTAACAAGTTTAAGATTTTGGCACATTTGGGTTTGGGGCTTTCAGACTCTGGATGATTTCCCTGAGCTACAACATCCAAATGAAAGAGAAGCAAAGTCTGCTGCCTATTAGCTCATCCAACATTATATTCTCGCAGTACAGGTATGCAGATCACTTTTACTTAATAAACTTCTGTAGCTTCGCAGCATTGTTTTTACACATTTCTCAAACTTTGAGCTATCAAGGATTATGCAGTGATGATTTTATTTCATAAAATGCATTTAGTGTCATTTTAGGGTCAATATACAGAGAAATGCATAAACATGGCCTATGAATCAGACAGAAAGCTATTAGGTATAACTTTCACCTTTTAAATTCCTTCTTCCTAGTTTGTAGTTCAAAAAAATATTTGGCTGCTTTTCAATATTGATTATAAGAGTCAAAAATAAAAACACGAGAGAGAAATAACTTTACAAACTTATAGTGCCTGCTTAATCTATACTATTAGCTCTTGAAGTCACATGCACCATAAACATAGCTATGAACTTAGACCTATGGTGTAAACACATCTCTATGTGTGAAGACACTTCACCTCTTCTGTGTGGGCCACTGTTTACCACCCTAACCTTCTAACCACCAACGACCTCTTTTATTACTTTTTCTTCTAGGTCCTAAATTTTTCTAAAAGTCTGAAAAGTAACTACATTATTATGCTTGATTTGCTTGATTTTTTTTTTTTTTTTTTACTGTTTCTCTAGCTTCAACATTGATCCCTCCTTTAAATAAACCATCTGGAATCATCCAAGTGTCATGATTATTACTGTTAATTCTGTAATGGTGCAAACATAATCAATGTAATAAACATGGGGGTGCCAAGCAGTGTTTACTACTCAAATCATTTTTATGATGGCTACATGTTACCTTATTCCCCTATCATGCCTCTATCACAGAGGCTAAGCCATATTCATTTCTAGGATTTTCTGTAAAACCATCAATAGTCATTGAGAGAGCCTGATAAGCATCAACGGACCACCATTATTCCTTATTCTGTTGTTGAGTGAGTTGAAGTACACTAGTGAAAAAGCAAGACATATATATTTTCAGTTAACTGTGTATTTAATACTATTTAATATTCTTACCATTTCTGTGGAACATTTTAGTAGAGTGGGGGAAAGAAAAAAACTAAACAAACCTCATGACTCAGTTTTGATTCTTAAAACTCAAACAGCCCTAAGAGTGAAGGCTTTGATGACAAACCAGAGTCCTGGCCTCCAGGGTAAGGTTCTTATCTCTATGATTAATTTCTTCATTTACAAAATACCATTTCAGATCTCAATTCCTGATTCTCTAAATTCTCAAAATTGGGAGAAGTGAGTACGCAGCACTATGCATTTCAATGACAACAATTTAAGCTATTAAATCTTTTTACTGGCTGTCTAACTACTTGAAGATACAGAATAAAAATATACAATGGATTAGTGATTTTGCAATTATCCTGTTACTTCTTTTATAAAACCCAGCTGTATAATTCAAGATTTAAAGTAAGTTTTGGCATTAATTATTGGCTTGTGCATCAAATTCACATGAACATAGTTAAATTCTCATTTCTTTTTTCCTAGGAGGAAACCTGACTGCCAAGAATTGCTCCAGCCCCCTTTAGCAAGCAGCATGTTTTCAAAAAAGAAAAAAAAAGATGGAGGGACCTTTCAAATAAGTTTTAAAGATAAATACTTGGGTTTTTATAGGACTTCCTCCTTTAATAAAAATAAATCAGTTAAGTTCATTTGGTTATGCTCTCCAAATTTAAAATAAAAAACTTCTAAGCATTCCAAATAATTCTGCATAGCATATATACAGCCTTTTGCTTCTTTCTTGGAGTTTGAATTTATTTTTGTAATGTCTGGGTAGCATTACATCGATAGTTTCTTCAGTAGTATTGTGAATGCACCTGTTTGCCAATTCAAATAATTTATGGAGAAACAAACATTCTATTTAAACAGGAAGAGCCAGGAGAGCTGCGTTATTTGAACAACCAAGGGAAGAGTCCCCTTTCTTAACAAACTGTAACAAGTATTCACAGTACAAATCAACTGGTAGTAAATGACTTTTCTCAAAAGGAGCTTCAAAGGAAAATATTCCTAATAGAAATAGTCTCCTGTTTTCACTGGGGATTATTTTTACACATTAACACATTAAAAATAAGCTAAAACATAGTTTATTAAAATATAAAACAATGTCAAAGGTAAAACTTGACATTGGATGATGTTCATATACTTTGTATGGATTTCTACTGCAACATAAATGTAACGCTTCACACTTAGTTTAAGAATGACTACTGAAGTTGACATTTGTTGGACCTGCAGAGTTGAGAGGATATAATGGATGGCTTGCCTAGGAACAGAATTACACAAGCAGCATGTGAGTGTGGCCTCATCTTAGAGTGGAGTAGCAGGCTTACAATACACCAAGAAGCATTGAGTTTTCACTTGGGGAATGGCAGTTGTAACTATGTCAGTGGTTGGGTACTGGGAAATGCTACTTTGACCTATTTCTCTCCTCAAACATTAGCAGACTGCCTAGAACTGGTTAGATCTCTATCAGCCCATTCTAAGACTCTGTCAACTCCCAAGAGGGTTGGGTTACCTGAAAGGTATCTGTGATTAGCCTTCAGCAGTAAAGGATTACCCTCAAAGCATTCAAAACAGCTGCTCTTTGGTTCTGATTTTCCAAAGCTGAAAGGAACATTTTAGATCAATTCTCTTAGAAATGATTTAGTATGTAATTCAGTTAACCACTGGCAATTTCAGTTGTCCACCTATCCCCAAACTCAATGTGTTGTGTCCAATAAATACATACAGCTTTTAACATGCTAAGCATATTTCAATAAAAAAATAAAGATTAGTCAAATAAGGACAGGAGGGTTGCGGTCTACAGGAGGGTGTTACTGGGAAGTGCATAGGAGACTACCTACTCAACTATACTTGTATTTCAAAAGTCAATTCGAAAGGTTCTCAAATTTCTAAAAGAATTGTTTCATATGCTGAAGTTAATTTTCAGAACAGCAATAAAAAGCTGTGCATGTAGGTATGCCTTGAGCAAGTGACAATCTCTCCGGGCCTTCATCTCACACTGCAAGCTAAGGGCTCTGCTACAGATTTCTTCAGATCATTCTGGGTTCAGCATTCCATTAAAAGATTCCCTAGACAGTTTCTAATGCACACTTTAATCAAATAAAGGCAATTTGAATTTTTGTGTGTGTGACGCAGAACATCAGAACCCCGGGGTCTTGTTTGAAAACTAAGGTTGGTAAGCATTTCACCTACCAGAAACTCCTCATCTCTCTGAGCCAAAGCAAAGCATTTGCAGGAATTCTTTGTTTTTCATCAACAGTGGGCTTCATTAAGCCTGCCCAGGCCTGGAACTACTTACCCACTGTCACTCTGGATGCATGCCTCTCTCAGTGTATGCCTGACTGTAAGGCGACACAGGAAACTTAAAAATGTAACTTTGCTATACTCCAAGGAGAGCTTCTAGCCCTTTGCCTGAATGAACATTCCTCCCTTAACAAGAAAGTGTCCATGCTCCACCTGTTTCACCTGGCCACAGGCTCACTCTGCCCCACAAGCAGAGCCCAGCTCCAGCAAACCCACTCCACTTCCAATTAAAGTTGATGGGACCTGCATTCTAACCCGGTACCAGCCCAGCCTGCCCAGGTGCAACCACTGCAGGGCCAGCCAGCTCGGAAGTCAGAGGTTCGGTCTGGGTCTTAGGGATGGCGAGGTGAAGCTGACAGCTCCTGCCAGGTCCCGCCAGCCGAGACGACGAATGTTCGGCACCCTCATACGGGGCAGGCGAAAGGACCGTCCTGCCCCTTCCGCAGAAGGACGTGGCAGGTGCCGCGGAGCTCGGCCAGAAGAAAACCCCGGGGACAAGTGGCGGCCCGCGGCGCCGGGTCCCGAACTTACCTTCTGCTGCCTCCGGGCCATGTCGGTGGGCTGCTTGGCGTTGAAGGGGTACGCGATGCACCTCACCACGAAGACGTACAGCTGCAGGCGGATGCGCCGCTCCTGCTCCTCGTCCAGCTGCCGCTCGGGTTCGTCTCGCCCCTCGCTGAGCACCGAGGGGCTCGGGCTCCCGGGTCTGGCCGCCCCGCCGCTTCCGGAGCGCCCGGGCGCGTCCCGCCGTCCTTCCCGAGCCGCGGCCGGCAGCGCTCGCTGGGAGCCGCCGGGCGCCACCAGCACCTCGCGGCTCTCCTCCTCCAACCCCTCGTCCGACTCCTCCTCGCTGGAGGACGGGTCGAGCATGGTGCTCGCGGGGCCCCCGGGCTCGGCCCGCGCTCCCCCGGGCGCCTCGCCGCGCTGCTGTCCTCGCGAGTCCGAGGGAGCCTCGGGTCCGCCCGCCGCGGCCGCAGAACGAAAGGGAAAGTGGCCACGGCTTTCCGGACACGTCGAGTTAGGCGTCCGAGCGCTGGCTACCGACAGGGGCGGGCGGGAGCCGGAGGACGCGGCGCGGGAGAGCCGAGCGGGGATGCGAGAGGCGGAGTTAGCGCCGGGGGCGAGTCCGGCGCCTAGGGCACGCCGGGGACCGCTCGCCCAGCCCGGCCCGCC